GACACAACGACAGGAATTGATGGTGAAAGTCGGGCTCGAACCCACGACCCTCTGGCTCAAAGGCCGATACTCTACCAACTGAACTACTGTCACGGATCATTTGTCCCCATGTCTAAAGCCATGAATTCGGCCCATGCTGACCGCGTCAAATACTGTATATTGATACACTGGAGTAATCTTTGAGGCAAGATCCTTGGAGAAATTGAGAATGATCGGAGATTTGGATCCATATGAAACGCGGCGAGACCAGTGGACTTCACCAGAAATGACTTACTTTCACTTAACAGTTTTACAATTAAAAAAAGGTCATGATGTATATGATGCAATATTTCTTTCAATTAATACTTTCTTTTGAACGAAGCCGTTTATCACAGGCCTTAAATCACTTCTGTCTTGTACCTTCCGTTCATTCTTTTTTCGTTTCTGACATCGCAAATGAAATATGACATTTGGGGGTTTTTCAGTTTTCTGATTTGAAAAGCATTTATATAATGCTATGCCACCCCCCGACCCAGAAATGGATTAAGGGGAAGAAAAATGGATGGATGGATGGATTATATAAAAAATGAAGAAATTGCCGTTTACATTGAATCACGGCCGTCATAATGGATTTTGCACAGTTTTCCTTAAACTGAAGTTTGTGTGGCGACGCCAAGCCCCGGCGATGCAAGATGGCGTCGTATTCAAATGAATGGTTTTGCTCAGTGGTGCTTCATGCCGGCATGCGTGCCAAAAAAATTAGCTAAATTATCTCCCATGATGCGTTGCGCTAATCCACTGCGCAGAACCGGGAGGGCCAGACGATGCCCGAATATAGGCGAGTTCAGCTAATCTCCCGGTCCCCATGAAGTCCCATGCGCTACTGAGCACAAGCCATTCTTTCAAATAGGGCGCAATCTTGGATCACCAGGGCTTGGTCTCACATGGAGTCTCACGCACGTGGCTGTGGCAAGTGGAGGCGGATGCGCTCCTAAAATAATAAAACACTTAAATAAAAATAAAAAGACCAGCAACGCCAAGGCAGAGTGCCCAAAATAAAGTTTCAAAAAAACACTCTAAGGCGCACAGGTTCGTAAATCATAAGAGGCATAGACAGACATTAAGTTACTTGGATTTATTATGTTATGTTTAGTTTTATCTTCAGGTTTCACAATTTCAATCACATTTCCTGTTGCGATGGACTCAGGATCAACACAGAAGATGCGAAAGAAACACAGGAAGAGGAATAATTAATAGTTACCTATTAAACTTAAGTTCTACAAATAGGTGCGTAGTCCCTTAGCTGACTTCGCTAGTGGGATATCACGTGACCCCCAGGTCACACGCCAGAGAGATCAAAAAATAATAAATGCTCCAATCACTAGCGACCCTCCTCTGTAAAAGCCCCTGCACAAGGACCGAGCCCCCTCTTGAACTCTGCCAAGCCGGGCTGGCCTGATGGGCTCGTAGCTAAGGGACTACGCACCTATTCATAGAACTTAAGTTACATAGGTAACTATTAATTCTACGTCATGGTGCTACGTCCCTTAGCGGACTTTGCTAGTGGGACACAACGCGGAGGCCGTAAGAACATAAACTCCCAGCAGGCCAGCGAAGAGTGATTGGAGCCCCGCCCGAGCAAGACCCTCACACAGTGAGAGGACTCAGGGCAGAAAGAATAATCAATTGCGTGTTACAGGGCCGCTCCTCCCAAGGACACCCCCAAGTAACACCGACCTTTGCTCCTTTGCTTTTTACTTTGTACACTCACGATTGTGTGTCCTCCGCTGACTCAAACTTGATCATTAAATATGCTGATGACACCACCATCATCGGTCTCATCAGTAACAATGATGAATCCTCTTATAGAGCAGAGATACAAAATGTGGTTCAGTGGAGTAAAACTAACAACCTCCAGTTGAACGCATCCAAAACATGTGAACTGGTCTACGACTTCAGTCGCAATAGTTCTCATTTGCCTGTCGTAATCGACAACTCCCAGGTGCAGATCGTAGAGGAGTGCACTTTTCTGGGTTTAACTCTGTCTAACGACCTGAAATGGGTTAAAAACACTGACCGAGTCGTTAAGAAAGCTCGTCAGCGTCTCTACTTTCTGCGTAAACTTAGAGAATTTACCACTAACTCTAAGATTCTGCTTAACTTTTATCGCTGCACCATTGAGAGTTTACTTGTTGGTTCTGTGTCTGTGTGGTTTGGAAACATCACAGATAAAGAAAAGAGAGCTTTAAACAAGGTGCTCCGCTCTGCAAAGAGGACCGTGGGCTGTGAGCTTCCTGTTCTGGAGGTTCTTTATAAATCCAGACTTTTAAACAAATCTTTTAGGATTGTCAATGACTCTTCTGGCCACCCTGGGAAAGCCATGTTCCAGCTTCTTCCCTCTGGCAGAAGATATCGCTCTCTGAGATGCAGGACATCTCGTTACGCTAACAGTTTTTTGCAGACTTTTGCTAATGTATTCCAATGTGGTTTTTTTACTGCAAATGGCAAATAAACTGAATCTGAATCTGACCGAAGGCCACCCGTAGTCCCAGGACGCCTCTACCAAGAGCTCCTGACGCGGACTACCTAACCGACCAAGGAGAAACACACACACCGCACCTACAGGACGCCTCTCCCAAGAGCTCCTGAACGAGGGCGGACAAAACAAAACCGTAGACCCCCTCAGACGAGGAAACCTCACGGTTCCAAACTCAATCCGCTGCACCAAGCACGGACGACCGGACCGGACCGGACGAAAGAAGAGGACGAAGCCCAAGAAGCCGCTCGGCAAACGTCCTCGACCGAAGCCCCCCTGAGCAGGGCCGTAGAGGCCGCCACCCCACGAGTGGAGTGCGACCTGAAACCCACCGGGGGGGCCAGGCACTGAGCCTGATACGCCAAACGAACAGCCGTGGCGACCCAGTGCGCCAGCCACTGAGACGACAGCGGGGCGCCCCTGTTCTTGGGGCCCAGACACACAAACAGCTGATCAGCCAACCTGAAGGAAGAAGTCACCGTCAGGTAACGCCTAAGCATCCTAACCGGACACAGAAGGTGCCGCCGCTACTCCTCCGGCGAGGCATGCGGCGGCGGGTGAAAAGCCCTAAACCTAATCACTCTCGACCTGAAAACCGAAGTGATGACCTTAGGGAGAAAGGCCGGATTGGGCCACAACTCCACCGGTCCGTCACCCTCTCCAAAGGACAGGCAAGACGCATGGACGGAGAACGCACACAAGTCGCCCGCCCTCTTGGCAGACGCCAGCGCCAGAAAGAAAGCAGTCTTAAAAGCCACACACTCGGGACTCGCCTCCGACACCGGCTCAAAAGGCGGGCCCGACACTGAGGACCACCCTGAGGTCCCAAACCGGGGGCGTTCTTTGAAGCGGGGGCCTCCTCCTGCGGGCCCCCTGCAAAAAACGTTTTCCCAACGGATGGGAACGGGCCGTGAAACCCCCGAAACCACCGTGACCCGAGGTAATGGCTGCCGCGAACACCGCCAGGGTACCGACAGCCCTCCCCTTGTCAAAGAGTTCCTGTAGGAATCCCAAGACTCCCTCCAAGGGGCAAAGCCTGGGATCCCAAGAGCGAGAGCCGCACCAGTCGCTGAAGAGCCTCCATCTGGTATTGTAGGCTCTCACCGTGGACGGCGCCCTCGCCCCCTGGACTAGAGCCCCATGGTGTATGCCCCTCAGGAACGGGAACCACCGGGCATGTGGACTGTGTCCGGGATCACCAGGATCACCGACCTCCCCTCCTGTTCTATCCTCCGCAGCAGGACCGGCAGGAGACGAACTGGCGGAAAAGCATATAGCAGGCCCCCTGGCCACGGGTAATGAGCCAGAGCGTCCACCCCTAGGGGCGGCTCGTCCGCGGCCCTTAAGGCGAACCAGGACTGGCACTGTGCGTTCTCTGCACTGGCGAAAAGGTTGACCACTGGGCGGCCGAACCTCCGCCAGACTTCTGCAGCTATCCGCGGGGCCAGGCCCCACTCGTCCTGGAGTGGGCCCCCCCTGGACATCCTGTTGGCCCCCACGTTCCGGGCACCCGGGACATGGCGCGCCCTCAGGGACAGGAGGTGTACCGCTGCCCACAACAGTATCATCGCCGCCATGCGATGGAGAGCGGGGGATCTGGTGCCCCCCTGCCTGTTCAGATAAGACACTACCGTGGTGTTGTCTGAGCGCACCATCACGTGTCTCCCCTGCAACTGAGGAGCAAAGTGCAGCAGCACCCTGTGCACTGCCTCCATCTCCAGTAGATTGATGTGGCGGGCTGAGTCCGACCAGCAGCCTCCTACGGAGCTCAGACCGAGGACCCCGCCCCACCCTTCGAGTGACGCGTCCGTGAACACCTCCACGAGAGACACAGCACCGACCAGAGTCACTCCGTCCCGTAACAGACCCGGAGTGAGCCAAAACCTGATGTCCGACGCTGCAGCTTGGGGAACCCAGATCAGCCTCCCCCCATCCCGTGAGGGGTGAAGCTTGAGGCGCGAGAACCATTAGGCTTTTTTCGTTCTTCTCTTCGTACAACGTGGTTATTTACTCACAGATTGTTCTGTTACAGATACAAATGTCAAATTACACACACACAAATCTGTTTACGCACGCACACAGTCTAAGTTACACTTGCGAATCTGCGAAGGCAGAACTGCGTCAAAAGATGTATGTACACACACAAATCTTTCTACGCGCACACAAATCTTTTTACGCACACACAAATCTTGATACGTACATACAAATCTATTTACACACTTGCAGAGGAAATTAAGTCCATGGTGACAAATGATGTGGGCAAGGGTAAAGATGTAAATGATGAAGAAGAGGGGGCCGAGTCCCGAACCTTGAGGAACGCCAGTGGGGACAGGGGAGGTTTTGGACTTGGCATTATTTATTGAGACGTAGTGGTGACGGTCGGTGAGGTAGGAGTAGGAGAACCAGGAGAGTGCTGTGCCGGAGATGAAGAGTTTGTGAAGTCATCTTTGATATAGATGTGTTGTCTGTGTGCCTTGTGTTGTAGGCCAAGTACCACTGGCAGAGTCAGAATGTGAAGCAGAGCGGGGTGGACGACATGGTGCTGCTGTCCAAGATCACGGAGGACGCCATTGTGGAGAACCTCAAGAAGAGATACATGGACGACTACATCTTTGTATCCTCATGTTCACGCGCACACACTGGGGCTGTGAGGGGACTTTATGTCTTTTATTATATTTCAACCCCTTCTACAATACTTCTCGGTCCTCTGCTTTTAGGTGAGCATAGCAAACAGTTGTTTGCATAACAACAGCTTAACTTTTAGATTTTAGCTACTCCATCCTTTTGCTGAGCTGTGCTGATGAGCTATCTGGTGAGTAATGGCAACAATATCTACATTGATTAATAGTATGTTTGGTTTTTCAAACATCTAAAACCGCCAGTACAGGAGGCGCATGCCAGACCTATTGTACATGATTTTTAGTGGTAGGGGAAACCAGAGTTCCCGGAGGAATTTAAATGGGGAATCTGTGCAGTACTCATGCTGCTACACCAGTGAGGTGGGATGGATTGTAAATTGAGCTCACAGATACTAGGTCATAGTATGTCTGTACAACAACAAAAAGAGTCTTCTGCTGCGGGAAACCTGAATTTCTCCTATGGGGGATCAATAAAGTATTTATCTAACTAGTAATTACGGACCAAGTACATAGTAATTATGGAATAATAATAACAATGCATGGGTTTTAATAATAACAGGGCAGGGGTCAGTGTTGAGTTATGAAGTTTTCATGTGTCCGACTGCAAAGGGAAAAAATCTGTCCTTATGGCGGGAGGTTCTGGTCCAGATGGTCGGCTGGATTCAGGGCTCATCACACCATGAAACTGATAATGGGACAGTGGGTGAATAGAAATGGACAGACTACAGCTGAAGTCATAATGATGGCAGATAAAGTTGGAAGAGGAGAGGATAGTTCTCAAGTTACCATACTTCTCTTCAGCAAAGTCCATACTCTCTCTATATGCAGCTTTTTTGAAAATCTGTGTTTTTAGACTTACCTGAGTCTTACCCACCTAACCATATGCTAAATCACAAAGGACTTTTCAAAGCCTGGCCTGGAATTTAGAGACTGCTTTGGAGCTGACTCAACAGTATAGAAGTTTGAAAATAAAATAAATCATGCAAAAACGAATATAGAACTCACCGATGAAAGGGAGTGACCTGTGCGACAACCATTGGATTTGCACACCGAGGCTCTCCACAAGAGCCCACTTTATGCATAGAATGTACCAAAGGGACATTCTTTATTCATTAAAAGGGGGTGACACAAAGGCTACACAAGCATGCCAAGTGAGGCAACCAGTTCCTGCCACCGGTCCCTCCGACCACCACCAGCCATTAAAGTGATTGTCTGGAGTTTGTCAGAAAGAGAGACAGAGAGGTACTTGATTTGAAAAAAACGACGCAAGCTCCCTCCCCTTCCTTTCTGATTGGTCTACGCCTACGTTTCCGTAACACTTTTAAATGTTATTCAGAGAACACATTATACATTATTAAAACACATGCACGGAGGTTTTCAGAATAATTTGTTAACGTTTTAATTAAAAAAATAATGTTTTTATGCACAAAAAAAGCGCATAAAACCCCGGAAGGAGCTTTTATCATTAATTGAACATTATAGGACACATCTGCAGAGGATCTGATTATGGATATAGGTTCAGTATATAAATGACTATGGATATAGGTTCAGTATTTACATGATTATGGATATAGGTTCAGTATATAAATGATTATGGATATAGGTTCAGTATATAAATGACTATGGATATAGGTTCAGTATATACATAAGTACCTCAGCGCGGATTTTCAGAATTCTTTGTTCAGTTTTCATGTAGTTCCAGAGCCTAATGGAGGCTTGATTCGGAGGCTCCACGAAAACAAACAACTGAGCATGTGCGCAGCTACGAGCATCAGCACTGATGATTGACATGACTCGATTGGTTAACGTGGACGGCATCGTGGATTCGGAGCTATAGCTAAGAGAAGGGAAGGTGGGACTTACCTGTAATATTAGAATTAATAAAATGACTTATTTTATATCAACATTTAAGGCCAGGAGATCAATTTAACACATTTCCTAAAATGTGTAATTCATTTAGAGTTACAGACTATCACTTTAACACATACATCAGACTGTGAAGTGTCCTGCCCAACATTGGGCATTATCAAGCTCTATACATAAAGTCGTTCAAACCACTTGAGCCATCTTGGCCACTTGGTAACTTTATTCAAACTTGCCTGTTGCCACGAGTTGAGGCACAGCACCTCCGCTGTTCCTGCTCCTTCCATCCGCTGCCTCCTGCACACCTATGTCTGCATATTAACCATGTTACTTTAGCCTCGTCCGGCTCAACATTAGAAACCCAGACGACACTGTGTGGCTTGCGTGTCTTTACTTGGGTAACACAAGTAGTAACAATAGTTCTGCCTTATCCAAAAAGGCAACTTCATCCAGGAACTATAGTTCATCACACGCCCGACCAGAGAAGAGAACACACTGAATATGCAGTAACACTACAGTAAATGGAGCATGACACAGATCACACCATGATCCACCTGATCCCTGAGTACAGACAGAGACTGAAGCTTTTTAAACCTGTAGTTAGGACCTCAAAGATGTGGACAATCGAGTATCAAAACTACTGACACGGACCAAGATAAATTATATCAATGACAAACCCTGATTCACTACTAAACTCAACACAGGTAAGTAAGTACTGTATATTTATATAGCGCATTTTACAGACCAAGGTCACCAAGTGCTTTACAATGTTCAAAGTTCAGATATTGTTCCAATCATTCCACACACAGTGATGACGGAAGCGAGTCGCCGAACACACTGGACCATCAAAGCCCCCAATCAACACCTTTCATACCTATTGTGCATGTTTTTAGTGGTAGGGGAAACTGGAGCACCCGGAGAAAACCTACGCAAACACGGCGAGAACATGCAAACTCCACTCAGAAAGACCCTGTTCCATCCGGGACTCGAACACAGGACCTTCTTGCTGAGAAGTGAGAGCGCTAGCCACTCGGCCACCATGCCGCAGGTGAAGGAGTCTACCTTCTCCTGTGTGAGATCAATTAAGTCTATCTTATCTTTCAAGGAGGGTGTAGTGTCATACTACATCCTCAGACTCTCCTCCTACCACACTTACAATAGCTCAAGATGCTGTTTCAGGACTAAAGAGAGACTTTATCCCTCAAAGTTCCAGGAAACAGGAAGGTGAAAGTCACATAAAACTTTATTTTGTTTTTTTTCAGGCAGAAAAGGTAAATATATAAAAGTAATTACAAAACTTAAAGACACAACAAGTCCTAGTAAATAACAAGTCCAAACAACAACAATTCTCACAATCCAAGTTTCACAAAACACGTCTGTCTCCTAAAGACGCACTTGCACTCGCACCGCTGTTTTATTGGCCATGGCTCTTCAGCCGGACAGATAAATATTAAGAGTGCCTTAATATCTATTTTTGATTACTGTATTACTTGTTTGCATCAAATCTATTTCCGGTTACTTAAAATAGCAATTAAATAATTCTTAATCTGAATCTGATTATGGCATAACTATGCGACCCACCTTAATGTTAGTGGCTCTGACTCTGGGTTCCACTATGACTGTACTGCCAGGAATACGAGAGTACCTTCTGCTGCAGCTTACCACAGGGTTTGAGTGTGTGTAAAAAATATTAGTCAACCTAAACACAACCTGACCCCCCATGTTCTAAATCTTGTTTTAGGCACTGCAAGCTGAAAACAAACAATAAAATTAATTATTAAAAACAGGAAGTCAGGGCAAAGAAGCTAAAATCAGAGAAATGTGCACACAATGTTTGGTTCCTGTTAGAAGCCGTGCCGCAGAGAGAGTGAAAGCCCAGAGTAAAGCTATGGAGGACCGTGGCTGCCAAAACAATAAATATATACAGAAATAAATAAATAAATTTAAAAAAGATAAAATTTGCTAAGAAATGCATGCAAGGAAAAAGATTAACCAATGAGCTTACAGCAGAGGCATCCCGGCCCACCCAATGATTTGCATATCATTAAGAGAAATACAGAAATAAATAAATAAATAGAGAAATAAATAAATAAAAAGAGAAATAAATAAATAAATGCAAAAATAAATAAATAGAAATAAATAAATAAATAGAGAAATAAATACAAAAATAAATACAGAAATAGAGAAATAAATAAATAAATGCAAAAATGAATAATTAAAGAAAAATAAATAAATAAATACAAAAATAAATACAGAAATAGAGAAATAAATGTATAAATGCAGAAATAAATGTATGAATAAATAATAAAATAAATAAATATATATATAAATAAATAAATAAATACAGAAATAAATGCACTTATTCTCATAATTGCATGCCTTTCTTTGCAAATTTTATCTTTTTAAAATTTATTTATTTATTTCTGTATATATTTATTGTTTTGGCAGCCACGGTCCTCCATATAAAGGGCATACAAATGAAGAAATAAAAGTGTGCACTTCCTCAAATTATAAAAGGTTTGACCCTAGATGAAAGACAATTATGAATATGAAAGCTAGATTCAGATCTTCCTTTTGACTTTATCATCACAGCCTATGGTGACACAAAGATAGCAGTGTAAGTAATGTTTTCTTTAAGATAAGATAAGATAAGATTGACTTTATTGATCTCACACAGGATACATTTTTATGTCACATTTGGCATGTAATTCATCTGGAATTACACTCAACTGGAAGACAGGAACTACTAAGCCCACTGTGCTTACTGCACAGCAACAGAATAAGTCAATCTCACTCGACTGCAGCGCCACACTCCCAATCCTCACCTCACGCAGCAGTGCCCTGAATCAAGCCTTCATATCGTGTAGCAAGATCATCATCCAAGAAGCAGAGTGCAGATATGTGGGTTTAAAACTGGAGACAGTGGCCCTCAATTATGAAACTTGCGCAGAAAAGGGTGTATATTTTTGGTGTAGATTCCAATTACGCAAAATCCAGCGCAGGATTTATGAATGTGTGAGATCCGCACAGATCTGAGCGTACGCACCTGCGGGTGTTGATAAATGCCGCGCTCAAAACCAGCGTATTTATGAAAGTCACGCCAGAAATACTCAGGAACTGCATGTTTCACGCCCCATTTATACGACGGGTCAGCATGGAAGCCGGCCAGCAAGTCTAGTTGGAAGCCTCTAAAGAGTTTACATTGAGTTTTATTTTGTAATTTTGTTTAAAAAGAAATACACGCTAATTTATGTATACGCGTTTTTCCCTATAGCAACCCACTGCAGCACTCCTCTCTCTTAAACTTTAAGTGAATGAATAAATGAATCAATTGACTGAATGAATGAATGAATCTTAATATCTCAGCGGTGGCTCATCATTAACCGGGCTAAGCGTCTGCGGAATCTTCTTGTGAATGCAATGGAGCGATCTCTGTGAGAGAGAAAGGATGTGTAAGCTTTCGGGAAGTGTCCGTGATTTCACAGAGAAACTCTGGATCCAAACGTCTGAATGATGCGCACCGCATATTCTGATGTGGGACCTATGTGGCACCTGCTGCACACTGCCCAAAGAGCCACTGCTTGTGAGCCCGTTCCTACAGATAAGCGCATTGCCATCCTCTACATGCGGACAGGGCAGTGGCTGAGACAGTTTTGAGTGAGACCATCGGTGCGTTTATGTGGCTTTATGCACAAAACTAATGAAAAATGCATTGCTTTGAATGAGGCGAAACAAATAGCCATGCGTATTTACACAGTGCAGGGCGGGTCACACATTAAGTAAGTGTATGTCAAGTGTATTTATAAAACGATTTTCACAGACCAGGATCACAAAGCGCTTCACATTTTAAAAAAACATACTGATGAAAAGAATATACATACAACTAAAATTTTAAAAACAAAGAAAGAGAAGAGGGTCCTCATCATGATCTGTGATTTAATCGAAATTTGCGTGTTTCCAGAGTGTTTTTCTGAATGTGTTGCTCAATGAAAACGCAACTTATAATTTTGCCAGACTGGGAATGTGTTTATTGTTGTCCAAATCTTGCATTTCATGCGTGTTTTGGCGTGTTGTAATGAAGGTTGACTTGGCGTATATTACTGTACGCCCACGTCCAGATTGAAAGATGCCGAAAACTGTAACTTTTTTGCGTACGCCTCATTTACACCCTTATTTGGCCGTACGCAAGTTTCATAAATGAGGCCCAGTAAATGTAAAAAGTGGCAAAGTTGGGCCGGGCTTGGTTAGTACTGTGATGGGAGACCTCTGGGAATACCAGGTGCCTTTAGTGGGGCGGCTGTAGCTGTAAAGTTCCAAACTGTCTTTGTATCCTTTGGCAAGACACTTCACCCTCATTGCCTATGAGTCTGGTGTGTGAGTGAATGATTTACAATACAATACAATACAATTTATTCTTGTATAGCCCTAGGTCACAACAGAAGTCATCTCAGAGGACTTAACAAAACCATTAAAATCACCAACACAGGTCAGAGAATCAACAGTTAAAACACATGAAGAATATAAAGCACACACAGAAGAAAATGTCCATACATGTTGTAGAATGCTAAAGTGTCCTGATCATCACCAATCCTTTCTGTTGGACACTAACTGTCCAACAAGACCCTCCTGCATCGACAAGGAAAAACTCTTAAAAAACCCAGTGGGAAAAAGTGAGAAACCTTGGGGAGCACTAGGGAAACCCACAGGGAGGGAGACCCATATGAGAAAGGGATCCGCTCCTCCGGACGGACAGGCTAATGATCTAGGACCTAAGCTAGCTACAGAACGTGGACCAGTGGCCGTTGAACGTGGACAGGTCCGGTGCAGGACTGAAGCACTCCCAGGCGGGTTGGGCAGGGCAGTCCGCAGGTGTAGATGGAGGAGGCCAGGCTCAGAGATCCCGTCATCGTACCATGAAACAGACAATGGGACAACGGGTGAATAGCAATGAACAAACTACAGTCAGAATCCTAAAAGTGCTAAACAGATAAAGTAGATAAAGTAGGGACATGGAGTATTTGTGGTGGTCGAAGGGACAGATGGCACATACCGATTCACTTTCTTCTGTCAGAGCAGCTGTGGCTACAGTAGTTCTTTACCACCATGGTGTACGGAGTGAATTATTATAAAACCGATGCATTATTAGTATTTAGTAATAAAGGAAAGATACCTGGACAAAAATAACTACCAGTACTAGACCTAAAGCTGCATTGAAGCATCTATGTACTTCCTCTTCAGCTCAGCATGTCACAACTGCTCGCTTCCGCCTTTTCAGCCCTCTGAAATACACAAGCCCAAATTAAGACTTAAGCAACAGTGGCTGACATCATGATGCATTAGCCGCAAAAGGTCTTACACTAAAGGTTTTGAGAGATGCAAAATGCCACGTCTTTTTAAAATGAATTGGTTTAGCTTTTTTATTATTATAGTCTACTGTATATGCTGATGATTAGACAAGATAATTATTAGACAAGCTTATTCATCTTGTAATGATAATAGAATATACTGTATTCAGCTCATTTCATCACCTCTGAAATCTTTGGGAACAAGCTCTGCACAGAGAACGATCAATTTCTAAAGTCAGCCTAAATTTTCCATGTTAATATAAACTCTGGTATAGCCGGAGTCCAGTGTTGTTCATTGAACACGCTCATTTTTTCGTGAACGTTGAACTGAACGCAACACATTTTTAAAAAAAGAACTTGAACGTGAATGAGTTCATTTTATGTGTCATGAACGGCAGACATCACTATGAACGTTGGAATCTGTTTTCTCTTTTTGCACTGCAGCGCATTACTGTCTGTAGTTTATGAGCAGAGATTGGACAACTCCGTTTTGCTCCCATTGAAAACCATGTAAATCTTGTCTGTTTTGTAGTCAAAAGGCTCTTCTCCTGTGGGTGTACAGGAGATTTTATATATATATATATATAGTTCGTAGTGTGAAAAACATATGTATTTAAGTATCTCATGAAAAAAGTAAAATGAACTGAACTTTGAACTAGTTCAGAATTAAAAATTTGAACTTTGAACATGAACTGTTCACTTTGAGCATGTATGAACTGAATTTGAACTAGTTGAGAAAAGCTGTGAACTGGCACAACACTGCCGGAGTTTGACCTGATTTTGCTTTGAATTGTTCCCCTTTCAGAGTTGAGGCAAATGTCACTGGAAATGAAATATAGGAATCTGTAGTAAAATGAAAAGCTCTAGGCAGGACCCAAGAAAAATTCCTATTCACTTTCGAATTACGTTGGGCCTATTGTGTGAGTTTCGTAAATAAGAAGGACAAATCTTTATTTGAGTCATTAAATTGTACAAGTTTGATCTCAGCTCCTGTGGACTCACCACCTGCAGGAGGATCAGTGAGGGGCTGGTGCTCTGTGACTGGGTGCAGCTCTGATTGCCACCCCCCCGACCCAGAAATGGATAAGGGGAAGAAAATGGATGGATGGATGGAAGTTTGATAAAAGTTGGATACTGTTACAGTACAATATGACCCAACCCCATAGTGTTTGGGAGAATGTCCCACTTCTACCACTAAATGAAAGTGTTTGGCTCATCCTGTCCACGTATAATCTTAACTGTTTTAAAATGGATTTTATTACATCCTTACAATTTTGTGTTTTTTTAATAAGTGGGTAGAATCCATTCAGTATTCCGTTTCGTGGAGTTTTCTGATTATTGAAAAGGGAGATAGGAGCAGCAGATTTATAGAAAATAATGTAGGATCTTGTCAAACATGTATACGTCCTTAACCTGCTCACAGACCTACATAGGGCCAGTGTTGATCTCCGTAAACCCGTTCAAACAGATGCCCTACTTTACAGAGCGAGAGGTGGAGCTGTACCAAGGAGCGGTGAGTAAAGCACATATTTACTCACACATTTTGATAACGGCTTACTTAGCATTCACTGTGGTCTTCCCCTCAGGCCCAGTATGAAAACCCTCCTCATATCTACGCCCTGTCTGACAATATGTATAGAAACATGATGATCGAGGCAGAAAACCAGTGCGTCATTATAAGGTAGCTATCACTCTAAGTTTGCTATACAATGGATTGTAAAGAGAGTTTATATCTATTGTGTCACTGAATTGCAAAGATCTTAAAACATAAGTGAAGGATTTAATTTTATTTTAGGATTTTTTTCTGAACATTTAAGATCAGCACAAAGAGTCATAGTATCGTCTCCCAGGGGGTCAAGTGGGCTTGATATTATGAGATTAGGAGTGCATTCAGGTCCAATACTTGGTTTATGTTGTAGAATTGTAATACATTGTTTCAGCAGGCACCAATACAACTCATTTGAAAGAAGCAATTGTGGAAAGAAATGTGTAAAAATAAAATGTCTTGCTGTTTTCCCTGACCATTATTTGATAGTGATTAGATTTACAAAGCTGCCATATTAGTCTGTTTTCTACTGGCTTTTATAGTGCATACTTTTTTGAATAATGTCGCCATTTCTAGACACCTTTTATAATCGTTGATTGTGATTATATATACAAAATTATATCTACAAAATTTAAATAATGACACAAATGGAGCTATAGCAAAAGGTCTCCCTGACAAAGCTGATTTGGAACTCGCAAGACCACTTGCATCGATCACTGCTCCTGATAGAGGCTCTTGTGCAGGATGGGTCAAATGCAATGCAGTACAAATTGCCCTACATGGATAAATAAAAAGTGCACCGTACCTTATCATAAATCTGAACCTGAATATTATATTTTTCCAATTTTGGTTTCATCCCAGTTGTTTCATTCATCCAAACTCAAGTCAAATGAAATTCATCTGTCAAAATAATTATATGAAATGAAAATCACTTTATACTTTTGGCCCTCAACCAGCTCTTATGTTTTTAAATTCAGCCATTGATCAAAATGAGTTTTTGAATTGTTGTGGCATTCCTGTCTAAATAACAAGAGAGGGTAAAGGAAAAGATTGAACAGGAATGAAAAAGTGTGATGTGGTTGAGGGTGACAATGTAGGGGTTGTAAAGTAAATATCAGAAAATAAATGTAGTTATTTTTCTAATTCTGATTGTGGTTTCAGCTGAAATCCATTCATTGTTGTGTCTTGTTAAAGCTCCGCACAGGCGTCTCATACATTCCTCCATGCGTCATGACTGACACAACATAGGGACACAATAGAGAAACATTTCTGTTTACATTTCAGCTCTATGTCATTTTTCAAAATAAAGGATTTTTTAAAAGCCTCAGGAATCTTCTGCAAGTCAATTCGCTGGTTCAGATTATTAGGTTAATTGCTCGTTTAGATTATTGGTTTTTCTTTACTTTTTTTGCCAACAATAAAGGCTTGAACTACTTCAGTTGTGTGTAATGAATCTAAAATATATGAAACTGTAATGTTTATCAGTACATTACAGAAAATAATGAACTGTATCACAATATGCTAATTTTTTTAGAAGAACCCGTATATTGCATCTGTACGAGGTTGCGCGGTCCTCACTGGTCCCTCCTCGTCTCTCCTCGGGGTCCGCGTTGGTCTCAGCGCTGGTCTCTACTTGGGGCCCACGTTGCTCTCTCCTCGGAGTCCACACTGGTCTCTCCTCTGGGTTCCCGTTGGTCTCTCCGTCGCAAACAGCCCTTGCAGTCCCTTTTATGGGCATTAATGGGAGGTTACCTATGCTAAGTACCTATGCTAATGACTCACCTGGCACGCGCGCTCAATTTACGAGGAAATGGCATTCATCAATCAATTAAAAAAACAGCTCATGCCAACAATTCAGTGGCTTAAGAAATCGTTGATAAATCCGACATATAGGGTCTTCTTAGAAATCCTTTAATTACAACTTGAGAAGAAATTTAAGACTTCTTTAGATTTAAGAAGATATTGGTGAATGAGGCCCATTGTTATTGTATACTAACCTGACCTAATGGCAGCATTTAGAGATTGATTAGAGGAGGTCCACAGCTCAAGGCCATATGACCTGGGACACAGATTTCAATCCAAACAAAGTATGTCCTGTCTTCTCAATTAGACTAAAACCAAGCGGCCCTCACCCAGTCCTCTCGCTTCTGTGTGAGAGTCTCATGGTCGATGTCATGAACTGGGTAGAGGTTCGGACAAAAATGATCAGGGCCTTTGGGGATGTTCCATATTGAAGCGACATGTTTACTATCTTAAAGGTAACAGACTGCTCAGAACAGCCTTGGAAATCTAGCGGGCATTACATGCTCTGACTTTTATTTGTGCTGTGGAGCTTCAAACCCTTTGGGGAAAAGTCATTCACATTATTTCATTACAATAATTTACATGTTGGATTTTCTGCTTTGTTCATGTTTCTCAAAGAAACATGAATAAATCATCTTAGCTACAGACATTTATTTCATTTGGATTTCCTTGTTCCCCAAAATAACATGATGGCTTGGTACAACACCATGGATTCCCTGCAGAAGCTCCTCTCTCTCCAAAATGACAGAGAACAGAATACATTTGCGTAAAAATCTGAAAAAAGGGATTTCACAGGAGTTTGACATCACATGATGAATGATAATTATTTACATTCACAAAAGTAATACATGCGTTTCAGTACTTGCAAAGAAAATGTATACAGTATTTTGTACAGGTACAAAATATAAACAAAACAAAAACACTTGAAATGATATCTAGGGTACAGTTCTGTAAATATACACAAGGCTTCACTGGGTGCTGGTCACCATCCTCCTCTTCCTGGGCTTTTTTAGTGAACAAGTGCTTGGCAGAACTGTAAGCATCTTGAACAAAATCATTAAAAGAATAGATTCAGATTCAGGAGAGGAGCCAGTTACTGTAGGAGGAAGACAAAAGTACTGTCTCACTTTGAAATTTTTGTATATATATTTTTTTCTCTAGTGGTGAAAGTGGAGCTGGAAAAACTGTGGCGGCTAAATACATCATGAGCTACATTTCCAAAGTATCAGGAGGTGGACCTAAAGTACAGGTGAGAACTATCCAACACATTCATTTCCCAACCCTACTGTTTAAAATTTCCTTTTCCAAACTCGTTACAATGAAGCTGCACCCCTCCCCGCCTGGGAGCTGCTTCAGTCCTGCACTGCACCTATCCTCGCGCTACAACCTGAGTCCTGAGCAGCGTGGCCTTGCTCCTTATTCTGCAGCTTAGGTCCTGGATCTATAGCCAGTCCGTCCGTGTGGAGCTGATCCCTCTCTCAATGGTTCTCCCCGAGGTTTCTCACTTTTCTCTGTGGTGATGATCCAGGACACTCAAACATTCTACAACATTCATGGACATTGGTCAACTCCCCCATGGACCAATACTTGTTCTATATTTTTTGTGTTTGAACAGTTTGATTCTCTGATCTGTGTCAACGATTTCAACGGCCTCTGAGATTACTACTGTTGTGATTTAGGGCTATACAAGACTAAATTGAATTGAATTGAATCCTTAGACGCCAGCATAATGGACGGGGCCATTGTCTGCCTTATAAAATAAAAGTTCAGTCCTTGAAATAGTTTTGGGCAATGAAGGAGAAATACGAGTATAGATTCCACAACTCATGCACATTGTAAACAAAAATATAAGACTAAATAGTCACAAAACATTTCTTTAAACTGAAACCTATGAATATGTTTTGCTCAATTGACTGCATTGATGGTCTTGAGGAGAGTCTTGTGCTTCTACCTAATTTATGTGTCCAAAGGCCAAAATGACCACAAAAAGTGATTCTCTTCATATTTTATCTTTACCTATAGCTACACTCTGCAGTTTACCCTATTTCTATTTTTCTTGTTTGTGAATGTGAAAGATCAAAATCAAAAGTTGTACCCACCTTCGTTCAGTCAAATCAAACATTCTGAGAGGAATGAGGACCCCTATAAAATATGCACAAACAGATTCCTCCTAAATATGTGCTTTTCATTCTAGTTACTGTAGCGGTACTTGCATGTGCAAGCCAGACCTCTGAAGCTGTGCAGGGCAGGGCCTGGTTTACATGATTGGAGACCTTTGGGAACACCAGGTGCCACAGTGAGGCGAAAGTTTGTTAAGTGCCAAACTGTCGTTGTGTCCTTAGGCACTTCACCCACATTGCCTGAAATAATTTTGGTTGGTGGTCGTCAGAGAAGCCGATGGCACACACTGGTTGCCTCGCTTCTGTCAGTGTGCCCCACTGTGTATAGAGTGAAAGAATAACTACATGTGAAGCATCTTTGGGTGTCCTGAAAAATGCTATATCAAACCCATTCATTATAATTCTCATTACATTTGATTTTCAGCTAAATGTTCCTCAGCTGTGAATTGCTGGTCATTCTACAGACTGAATGTAGACCAGGGGTATCTACACTTTATAAGATAAGATAAGAGATACGATAAAACTCACAATGGAGAAATGTATCAAACCAAGAGCTGGACCAACCATGGAGCTGATTTACCTCAGATTTCTGTTGGGGTCCAGGATTTAGGATTTCACATTTGTTTCTATTCATGATTCAGGCATCAAGTAATCAAGTGATCAAGTAAAGACCATGTTGTCTTTATACACATTTCATTGACCCAAATAAATACTAATACTCATACTAAAATGTATGTTGGAGGTTTTTCCCAAATTTTAGGAAAGTAACGCCCTCTCCACTTTTTGAACAAAACTCTCTGGTTTTGATTGACAATTTGGAGGACCAATAGTCTTGATGATCCACCCGGGAATAGAAAATCCTCCTATATAAATGATCAGGTATTATGGTAGAAACTACACATAGTGTTCCTCATGTTGTAAATGTTACTCATAACTTGATTACTGCTCATATTAACTGCTACTTTATGCCTGCACGCGCTTGTAGGCGCTTTCCCACTTATAATTAGAGTAATCATTAAAAGCCAAAACTACAGGACCTCAGCTTCACAAAGAGTCCATTTGAGTAAGCTGCAAAGAGTTGGAATTGTAACCTTTTTTCCAGTCACTCGCGGTGGGAGGTAGTACATTCATGTCATATGTATTGTTTTCATAGAATGTAAAAGACATCATCCTCCAGTCCAATCCGCTGCTGGAAGCTTTTGGAAACGCCAAGACGGTCCGCAACAACAACTCTAGTCGATTTGTAAGTTAAAACAACGGTTAGAGTTTGAGAACTATTATTGTCCTAAATTGGTCATACATAGGTGGTCCTCTCATTTTAACTTATTTGAAACGTTTTATGAAAAACTATGATAACAAAGTCAGATTTTTGTGTGTTTTGAAATACTCAAGATAATTGCTAACAACTAAAAGTACATGGTTGAAATGCTGGTATTATAAGTCCATATATTGAGTTGTATATTTAGCTTGTACTGCAGTCTATCCATATATTTTCTTAGACCTATTTAACAGAAAGAGTTAAAGTATATATTATGACAATCAGACCACAACATGCTGTCTATTTGATGCATTTCTTATAAAACATGAGAGAGCTGATTGGCCGAGTGAGTGTGGTCCTGTCTTTTTCATTTTTACTCCTTGAAAAAGCTGATCTAAAGATATAACAGAGGCCAAAATGCATTAGAATTAGAACTAACTGTTTTGCGAGCGAGGAACTAGATAGATGGATTGTATTCGTTAAAGATGTGGTTTGAAAGTAGCATACCCCAGCTTTAACTAATTATTTAATATCAATAATGTGTTTTCAAATCTCAAATTTGACTTCCAATAGTTTTTCAATTCTGCTGAAGCTTTTGTTTGTTCTCTAAAGGGAAAATACTTCGAAATTCAATTCAGCAGAGGCGGCGAACCGGACGGTGGCAAGATCTCCAACTTCTTGCTGGAAAAGTCTCGAGTCGTGAGTCAAAACGAGAACGAGCGAAACTTCCACATTTACTATCAGGTGTGTTAGAAACTCAAAAACTCGCTCAGACTGGTATGTGAATAATATTGAACTGGCTTTTTGTCATTCTCCCTTATAGCTGATAGAGGGCGCCAACGCTCAGCAGAAGGAAGGCCTGGGCGTAATGACTCCAGACTACTATTACTACCTCAACCAGTCCGGCACGTACAAGGTGGACGGGACCAACGACTGCAAAGACTTCCAGGAGACCATGGTAACAGCCAAGAGAAAAAAAAACTGACCTTTTGTGTGCTGAAAAGTGGAAAAAGAGTGCATCTTAAATGATACATATTATAAGATAGGATAAACTTTATTGATATCACAATGAAGAGATGTCACATTTGGCATAGATGGAATCACTCAGGTTGTGCAAAAATGTTAAAAATGTTAAAAATAATAACCAATAGGTCTGGCATTTGCTGCCTCTTATACTGACGACCCCACTCTCTGTGTGGAGTGGGAGACAAATGCCAACAATTGTAAAGCGCTTTGTGACTCTGGTCTGTGAAAGGCGCTACATAGATAAAGATTACTTACTTATTTATATATTGTCTTGTTTGAGCAAGATATATTATGTACAGTCCTTTGTGGTGGATTGCTTTGGGATACATTTGTAAACATATTAAAATGTCCACTACCATCCAACTACCACCTCCACCTCTTTACTACTACTACTACTACGTCTACTACTACTACTACTACAACTACTACTACCACTAGTACTTTTACTACTACTAATACCACTACCACTACCTTACTACAACTACTAGAACTACTACTATTTCTACTGTTTCATGTCAAAGTTTGGTCTTGGCAGCTCCCAGAAGCTAAACAGGTGAAAACACAGGTTTATCTGTGTGTTTGTGTGTGTTTGTGTGTGTTTGTGTGTGTGTGTGTGCGTGTGTGCGTGTGTGTGCGAGTAGGAAGCCATGCATGTGATAGGTATCACAGCACAGGTCCGGGCTCAGGTGCTGCAGATCATTGCCGGAATCCTCCATTTGGGAAACATCAGCTTCATCGAGGCGGGGAACTACGGCCAAGTGGAGAGCACCGACTGTAAGCACAACACAAACAAATCCAGTCCAGACTGGGCCTATGGAGGACAGGATATAGACGTGACTGCTCATGGCACAACGAGAAAACTATACCAACAACTCTTTCTGTTTTCCTTCTTTGAAGAGCATAAGCCAAAACAAATAATCAGCAGTAATAATAATCCTTAAAAATAGCATACTCATGCACATCACATTGTTTTAACATATTACAACGAGAATATGATACATCATATGTAAAAGTGACCCCATATCTATAAAGAGTGAGCCCAAAAAACTGTATATGATTCCATCTGACATGTATTAGACAATACTTTAGTATAACGTTCAGTAATTTCAAATCTTGTTAGATAAGGTTTATTATTGTAAATTTGAAAAAATGTTGTCAGGATTGACTGATTTATTTATTTACCAATTAACTTGGCCAATTTGTTTGATTCATTGGATGTTACTGTCGAACTTTAGTCGCGCCTACATAATTTTCCAGAAGGACACCTTTCAGAATACACTCTAGGTTATCATATCGGCCATTATGACTAAGATGGTTTAATCATAGGTAAATTACACTGAAATGAGGAATGTGGGAAGGCACATGTTTTTATCGGGTTGCTCTGGTAGGTTGTTGGGCTAATTAATAGAGCTAAGAGATTCTCCTGGTTTGCTTGGAACACGCCTCATAATCACAGTGCAATGGATCAGTTACAGGCTCACATTCTGACCAGAATTGTGAGGTTGATGTAGTTAGGCTATGTTACTGTCACTACTCAGCAACCAAATAAAACTATTGAGAGAGCAAACACAATGTCACCCAGCCAACTTCAGGTCCACCCATATCACATGCCATATGCCATTTTAAAACTTAGAACCTTCAGTTTTCCTGTTGCTACATTATTTATTATTTTCAGTTTTTATTTTCTTGCTTACAGGAGGGAAATAACAGGTCCAATAAATACTTTTGCCATCATAAGATCACGGGGTGACAGTTGCTCAGTTGGTAGAGGACCCAGAAGGTCGTGGGTTCGAGCCCACCGGAAGACTTTCACCATCAACTCCCACTGTCTGTTGTCGTTGTGTCCTTGGCAAGACACTTAACCTCTGGGAACACCTGATGCCACAGTGGGGCGGCTGCGGCTGTAAAGTGCTAAAATGCTGTTGTGTCCTTAGGCAAGACACTTCACCCCCATTGCCTAGAATGAGTCTGGTGTGTGTGTGAATGATTAGTTGTGGTTGGAGGGGCCGATGCATATACTGGTTGCCTCGCTTCTGTCAGTGTGCCCCAGGGCAGCTGTGGCTACATTAGTAGTTTATCACCACCGTGTTTGGAGTGAAAGAATAATGACATGTAAAGAGTCTTTGAATGTCCAAAAAAGCGCTATATAAAACCAACGCATTATTATTATTATTATTATTATAATGCCTGAGTGGGTAGCACACATTCTTCACAGCAACAAAATTGTGGGTTCAATCTCGTGTGTGGATTTGGGTTGCGTGTTTCCCAGTATGCCTCACTGCCCAAAACAGGCACAAAAGGTAATATCCCAGCATCAAAAACTGGAGATGGGTCCCTAACCCTAAGGCCTTAATGAAGAATGATTGAAATGCAGAGAGACACAATATACGCTACTGAATTGTTCAATGCAAGTATGAAAATGATGCAATAAAACATAGGAGAAGGGTCCTTGTTGTGTTTGTGACCCTGTTCCCCCATCAGGAACTCATGATTTCAGCTCCTCATTCAGTTGCACAATGGACAGATGTATGAAATACTCATTGATTTGCATTGTGTTTGGAGTGTTGATGCAGCTGTTTAAATGTACAGTCCATTGATACTCCTAGATTTCTGATTTGTAGATTTTTGGGAGAGAGACTGGAGAAGATATCATCTTGGTCTAAAATACAATGGAAATCTTGTTATTTTCCCAGCGTCATGCACCTTCTCCCTGCTGTTCTCTCCTTTGGGAAATGAGTAACTGTCTGGAGTATTGGCAGTGTGTTCCCCACACACACATGCGGTTAATTAATACTTAGTTGTTGTGTCACCATGTGATGTTACTGGCAAATTATCTACTTTAAAGTTATCATGAAATCAGAAACTCCTTCTTAACCTGATCAGAAGTCTCCATCCCCAGTTCTCAATAACATGTGTTGACCTTTAACATCTATGACATACTCTCTCATGGTAAAGCTGCCCATTCTTCTTGGCAAAAAGCCCCACGTTCTTGTTCAATCTTTTGCCGCCTTGCCTGAACTGCACGTTTGAAATCTCCCCTGAGTGGCTCATTGCTGTGATCATTTAAAAGTATAAATCTTTTTTGCTTGACAATAAATGGCTTCACGCAATCACTAACAATGAGTGAAAACAAGTTTTTGTAGTATTATTCATAATCTCCAAAAGATGGCCAAAGTAATAAGGGAGTAAAACTTTGCCACAGTACTGAAGAATAACTCAAAACATTCCCAGACCTCATGGCCCTTTCTTATGTGCACAGTATTGGCCTTCCCTGCGTACCTCTTGGGCGTGGACCCCAGCCGGCTCCAGGAGAAGCTGACCAGCCGGAAGATGGACTCCAAGTGGGGGGGCAAGTCTGAGTCCATCGACGTAACCCTGAACCAGGAACAGGCCACGTACACCCGTGACGCCCTGGCCAAAGCCTTGTATGCCAGGCTCTTCGACTACCTAGTGGAGGTATTCTTTACAATTGTGTTATTACAGTGGGATGCAGAAGTTTGGACACCCTGGGATCAACAAGTCTATTAAGAGAACACATATTAAAGTAGTTTTTATTTGGTTGTATTTTTGACAATGTTCTGTAGTTGTAGCTATATGATATAGTTGTGTTCAAGCATAATAGGACTTTTTGGCACTAACAGGCACAAATATGTATCCCCCTTCTTTCTGTTTAAATTTTAACATTTTTATTTGTTCAGAGAAAAACCCCTTGAGATGTATTATTACATTTTTGAGGGGTCCTGAAAACATACATCAAAAACAAAAAAGAGTAGCATGTTGGACAGCAATCTGTGGAAGTTATGTCTTGATAAAGGATAAAAACATTTAAAAGACCATCATTGTGATAGTTCGATCTAGCATTTCTAGTTTGAGGGGTGCAGATACAACTCAGGCGTCCAGTCAGCAGTGAGCGTATCAGTACATTTAAACCAGATAAGATGGATTGACAGAGATTTTTTCTTGGATCAACACTGGGAACAGTGAAGGCTTTGATGTGGATAATACATTTTGTGATTGAAAAAAAATCCATTCTTCCTCCTTACTGTAATATGTTCCCTGTGCCACTGGCTGTCACTCAACACCAAAGCATGATGGATCCACCCCCATGCCTAATAATTTGACAGACTAGAAGTTACTTTGTCAGGGTTTCCATTTTAATATATATTATTTTGGGTTATAATCTATACCTTAACTTTTGACCTATTGAAACCTTTATCCCAGGTGTGTCCTAAACTTTCTCTCCATCAACGTTCAACTCAACAGTATGAATAACATGAAGATCTTTGTGTGTTCAAGGCCATTAATAGAGCTATACAGAAGCCACATGAAGAATTTAGTATTGGAGTTCTGGACATTTATGGTTTTGAGATCTTCCAGGTGAGTCTCTGTTAAAATATAAACTTGCCAAAAAATAGTCTTGATAGATTTGTGCACATTTGCTCAAATGTCATTGGAGTTTGACAAAGGGAACACCCAGCTCTCTGCAACCAGCAGATCGTGATAAAGGCTTGCATCATAATCATGATCATTTCATTGATCATGTTTTGAATGATGAGTTCACTTTGCTTCCATCAGGAAGCAAAGTCTCTGTAGCTTGTTAGTGAGGTAGACTTTGGTGTTTGAGCTTCTGTTCATATGTTTGTATGGGCTCCACTTATTTTACTGTCTAACATTTCCTGTATTGTTTTGTTTTTATGCCATGTGCTGCTCAAAAGATTTGCCCCTGGTGGGATGAATAAAGCAGTCTGAATCTGAATCTGAAAATACCACATATTAAATATTTCCTTCTTATGTTTTTAATGTACTGTGTCTTTCATGAAAGAAAAACGGATTTGAGCAGTTCTGTATCAACTTTGTCAATGAGAAACTCCAGCAAATCTTTATCGAACTGACGCTAAAGGCTGAGCAGGTATGGTGTCTGTCTGAATGGTTTCAAAAATATGTAACATAAACAAATAACATTATCTTTTGGCTGTTTTTAGGAGGAGTATGTGCAGGAAGGGATCAAATGGACTCCCATTGAGTATTTCAACAACAAGATTGTGTGCGACCTGATAGAGAACAAGCTGGTGAATCATTGTTTGACTATTTGACTGATTCAATATTTCAAACAAAAAGCCACATTACAATTTGTCTGACATTACAAAGCACAATCAAGGTAGGTCAGTATGAGTCTGTGTTATGGTTTGTAGATAAAACCCCCAAAGCAGAGGCAGGAGACTGAAGAAGTTTAACAAGTTTTTTTAGAACCCTAGCAGGCAGTGGATGCAGGGAGCAGGCCGACTTAGTTGGATATAGAAAAGAGACCAAAAGAGACCAAAGACAGGAGACACAGGGAGAAGACACAACTGGATCTGTAGAGACGAGGTGCAGCAGGTAAGGATTTTGAAATCCACAAAACACAGGGAAGATCTAAATAACACAACTGACTGAGACAGAGTTATCTACAGAGAAGTGCTGAACAGAATGGTTTAATGTACAGAAGTAGAGTGAGTGATGAGGTGAAGTCAGCCACGCCTCCTGCCACACGCATGCACTGCAAAACAGGAGGGAAGGAAGGCACAAACATTAGATCCTCACAGTCTGACTTTTTACAATACATCATGTCAATATTCCACACTTTGGTGATTGCCATTGGAACCATATGTGAAATGCTCAATTAGTGGCCTAAAAAAGTCTTTGCAATGTTTGCTTTTGTTTGGTTTTTTTAATTAAAGTTTCTTTTTTTTTGTAAATATTGTTAAAAGAAAAAAAAATGCTCAAAGCGTTTTTGATTGCAGGAAAATAATGACATGGTTTTAAAAGCCATGGTTTTATTTAAACTACATGCATTTTCAATTGATCAATTTCCATGTGTCTCCAGAATCCACCTGGCATTATGTCGGTGCTGGACGACGTGTGTGCCACCATGCATGCCAAAGGGGAGGGCGCAGACGGCACCCTTCTGCAGAAGCTCCAGGCAGCGGTGGGGATGCATGAGCACTTCAACAGCTGGAACTCAGGCTTTGTCATACACCACTATGCTGGCAAGGTCAGTGCAATATACATAAAACTGCGTATGGTGAACAGTGATGGTGATAGTTTCCATCACACACTCAACTATACTTTACTATAAACAAATGAGCAAGTTTTGCTTAGAATGTACAAAGATCACATTTTTGATTTGCATATACAATTGGTCTCTGCTGTCTGACATTTCAGTGTAAATCTCAACCCAAGATAACCAACCAGTCCTATACTTTTAGAGTGATTTTTCAATGTGTAAACCAAAATAGAACAACTGTAAATCCAAAAGAATGTAATGCTATGCTTGTTAGAAAATAAAACATGGTCCAAAAGTTATAAATGCCCAAAGCTCCGTTCCACATGTGTGTCAATGCTGAGGGGAGTGAATTTTTTGGACCACTCTTGTTTACTTGCTGTGAATTTCTGAAGTCTCTCGTTCAAATGAATGGAGCTGCACTGGCTGACGCATGCGCAGATGCGTTTTTTCACAATTTTCTTGTGGGCGGGACCACTCGCAGCCATTTTGGATAGCTCCAGTAGAGCACCTTTTTTGGCCCATTTGTTTGAACGGCGGAGATAGGCGTGACTCTGTCCGTTAAAATTTACAGTCTATGGAGGATACGAGTCTCTCTGGGGTACAGCGCAGAGCTCATCATTGCTGCTAACCCAGGCTTTGGTGCACTTGCTGCGGTCTGCGCGCTTTAGTTTCTAACCAGTTGGGGATCATGGGTGGTCAGAGCCACAGCCCATGATCCAGCACAGCGACTTCTCTGCTGACTTGCAGCAGGCTGGAGGATCATGGAATGCCTTATCAGCTCTAGCACATCAGAACTTGTGCTGTATCAGAACAACTATCCAGGACTCTATTTATAAAGGCTTGAATGTTTGTAGTTCTGAATTTATGATCTACTATTGATGACCTGTCAAAGCCGCTTTGACAGGTCCATCCTTGGATGTTAGATCCCCCGCTGCAGAGTGGTGCCTGACACATCCACCACTATGAAAAATATATACACAGGTTTATAAAAGCACATTAAATGTCTTTATTGACGAATTATAATTTTGTATCTTTTCCCGCAGATAGCTTTTCATCACATGAGCCTCTGATGTACACTCTGGGTCTCAAGCTGTGACCATTTACCACACCATACAGTATCGAGTATTTACATCTGCTCCCTGTGCATGGTACTAGTCAATTACGGGCAAGTGCATTGAAACCAGAGATCTATTCAATGCATAATGATGCACACGCATTGCTCCATAATTGAACTGAACCAGGACCAGCTTGAGTCCAGATCTGAACCCTGTCCTAAAGACTGAACCAGAACTGAACCAGGATCAGCAGTGCAAGGCTACTGGACCAATAAACATGTAAATTAAAATAATCTACAATGCAATGCAGACACAGACCGTCAAAACTTAGGATCCATGGTCACCCACAGAGCCCAGCTCTCTGCAGGGTTATCGTGATGATCCAGGACACTTAAACATTCTACAACATGTATGGACATTTATCAACATTCAAGGACATTGGTCCCTCCATGTGTTTTAACTGTTGATTCTCTGATCTGTGTTGGTGATTTCAATGGTTTTGTTTAGTCCTCTGAGATGACTGCTGTTGTGATTTAGGGCTATACAAGAATAACTGTATTGTATTGTATTGTAATTTTATTGTAAATGGAAACGTCCTTTACGGGATGTGGCGGACGTAAATCAAGAACTACAAATATTCAAGCATTCATTAATAATCCACAAATGCGTTAATAGTTGTTAAAGTTCCGCTAAGTGCTCATGCTGATGAGGCAGATGATCCATGATCTTCCTGAGTCATCCGGGTTATGGTGTTCTCGTGGCCATGGATGGTTAGCACCATAGCTTATGGTCCAGCAGAGCTGCAGCCCCAGTGCACTGTACCCCAAAGAGACTTGTGTCATCTTCGGGGTTCCTTGAGAAATAACCAACACTAAAATAGAGATTGTCTGCCTTTTGTTTAAAAGGCAGGTAACGGCTGATGATGTAAGTGTAAGTGTTTGTCATAGGGTACCAGGTTTGAGAGGAGCATTCAGATAGAAGGGATGGGGGAAATTTTTGTGCCATAAGATCCTGATATTAGCGTGGATGAAGTTAAAAACTAAAAAACTAAAACACTGATCTGCTTGTGATGTCACAGGTGTCCTATGACGTGCATGGCTTCTGTGAGAGAAACCGAGATGTCCTTTTCCCTGACCTCATCGAACTCATGCAAAGCAGCGAATTGTGAGTCTAAGACCTTTCTCAAAATGCATCAATATTTCCTTTTTTCTCTTAAAAAGCTGTTGACTGTTACATACTACACTGGCAATGTTTAACTCATCAACAACCATATTCATCTTCTGGTTTCTCCTGGTCATTATTATACAAATAAACTTGGGAATATACCGTACTTGTCTCAGTCTCAAAGTAACCTAATGAACTTTCTTAAAGTGGACATATCGTGTTTTCAAATAATTGATTTTTACATCTAAATCATTAATTTGTGGCCTATATAAAGCGTAACTGCAATGCCTGGGTCTGAGTCTCATTATTTGTAGCTCCACGGGCCTTTCTTCTACACCTGTTCTGAGGTGCGTCTGAGAGCAACCTGTTTTGGTACTGTCTCTTTAAATGCAAATGAGGCGCTTTTGACCACGCCCCCATCCAGGTGACACAGGTTCAACTCCATCCCGAGCGGCCATTTTTGTAGTTACTAAACACAAATACAATTATCTCATAGAAACTTCTCATGACATCGCAAACATGAAGCAGTCCTTCCTCATTGACTGAAAGCAAATGTTAACTTTCATTCTTAGTCCAGTCTTATTATCGACTCTTCTCTTTTTAGCTTTGGGATGCGCACAGTCTATGATGCTCACACGCCGGTTTGTTTACAACAGCGGCTGCCTGGCGCGGGCCTACGTCGCAGGATATGACGCACTACGTTGACAGAAATGTTTAAATTGAATATTACTTATGCACAATTTTACAGCATTTAAAAACTTTAAGAACGTTTTTCCTTCTACAGAAGGAAAAAGACGCATGCGCCTCCGGAGCCGCAGGTTGCCGACTCCTAGTTTATACAGTATGTGGAAGCAAATACTGTAGAGGATCAGGATATGTGCAGTTTCAACAATAAAATAAAATGCAATAGTCTACATTACAAGAGAGTAATGAACATGTCTCAGAGTGAGGGAGGTGGACACAGACAACACTATTGTTTGTTACAGGGATGAGAATTGGTCAAAAAAGACTGAAATGAATATTGTCAACCATTTGCTGGCTCTAAATCTGTTTAATTTGTTCACAACATATTACTTTTGGGCTCAAACATGAACTTTTTATTCAATGCAAAATGTAGGTATCAGAGCTTTATTTAGGGCGTTTAATCGCGTTTCGAGAGGAGAGGGGAGACGCGGACTGTTTCCTGCAGCAGTGTATTTATTGGATGCACAGATTACTCAAAGACACGCATGGTCCTGTGCGCGTTTATGGGGTTGGGTACATGGCCACGTTGAGGCTGCCCGATGTCCAGTCCAGCCCTGTTCGCTGGCATCCTTGAGCTTGGACTACAAATTCGAAGTGATGCACAGTAGAGGAGGGCTGGGCCGAAGTGTTTTGTTAGACGCCCATGCCCTTATATGGCAGTCTCGCTGCAAATACTGTGACGTAATAATTCTAAACACGTAATAGAGAATGGCAAAATCAGAACGGGTTAAAAAATCTTACCTAAACAGAATATGAAGTGTTCTCTGCAACCCATGAAGAGACTGATTTCAACGTTTTTGCACTTCTAGAGGCTCCAACTACACAACATAAGGCATTTAAGGCACAAAAAGTGGATTTTTCATGATATGTCCCCTTTAAGCCTTGAACTCTGTGTTCATTTAATAGATGGATAAAGGCTTGACAACTTATGCATATAGAAATGTCCCTTCTTTGATGTATGTTGTGTTTTTTCAGTGACTTCCTCCGTAGCTTGTTCCCTGAAAATCTCAACACTGATAAGAAGGGGAGGCCCACCACGGCAAGCTCCAAAATCAAGGTGAAGCCGTTAGAAGGTGTCTGTCAGTCTAGTCAAAGCTGAAATAGTTAATCTTTAACACAGTTGCAAAATGTTTTTTAAATGTGGTATTCCGAACACGGAAACAGAATTTGGGTTGTTTATAGTTCCATCCACACTGATATCATGAACTTTTGGCGCAAACACGTCCCTTCGCCCCTTCTGTCTAGATGCACTGTTTTGAAACTCATTACCCTATGACAAATCCTCCAGCTCTGACACCCTAAAACTTTTTTTCTCCTAAAATGTTTTTTTTTCTGTCAGTGGTACTGGTTGTGTGAAGCCATTTATTGTCATAGATATAAACTTAACCCTAACCCATTTTAAGTCTCCATCCCCCAGTTCTCAATAGCATGTTTTGCTAGTTGTGGTAGTTGTGGTTGAGGTTCTTTCTCCTCTTTGGTAAAGTTGCCACTTCGTCTTGGTGAAAAGCCAGCTCCTGTAAATTCCCGAACCGCCTTGCATGGACTGCATGTTTAAGATCTTCCCAGAGTCTTTGGTGGATTCTCCTCCGAGCTTCACACTCTGTTCAAACCACCTGTACTCGTTTTAAGGTCCTGTTGAACACAATTGGACAATATCAATATCAAACAGCAAAGATGGGATCCTCCCTCTACCCCAAGCCCCGGCGATCCAAGATGGCGCCGTATTCAAATGAATGGTTGTGCTCAGTGGCGCTTTGTGACAGCATGGGGGCTGAAAGATTAGCGGAAGTCGCTTGGAACTCGCAAAGATCCATGGGAAACTCGCCTGTATTTGGGCATCGTCTGGTCCTCCCGATTCTGCGCTGTGGATTATCTCCCACGATGCGTTTCGCTATCTCCCATGATGCGTTGCGCCAAATACGCGTGTGTGGGTGTCACATCGGGGTCTTACGCACGTGCACAGAGGGGCTCGGCCGTGCTCTGACCAATCAGAGCAGTTCATCAGAGCGGGAGTTAGAGCGGGAGCCAGACGAGCAGAGTTTGTGGCACTAAAGTGAGGATTTAAAGAAAACTGAGGGATTTAAGAAGAAAAAAAGTTCAGGACGACAAGGGACACTACAATCCCCACAAAATCTGACCTTTATGAAAGCTGTAGGTTCTTTGTCAGCTGAGGTCACGCTGTATTAATTTACATTGAGTTCTTTGGGGAAAATTTCTGGGTTGCCCATGTGAATTTAGTCTGGTTTAGTCTGCATTACCGTGAGAATGCCCCGAGCACATGGGTTCTTCAGCTCCAAGCTAGTAATACCCTATCCAGTTATTATAATAGATCCATGGTCTACCCCCACAAATTCTGCCCGATGTTGGAACATGGTTAAAAAGACAACAAAGGTTTACGCAAGACTTTATTACATCTTTTGTCACAATAAGAACTATTTGTTTTACTTTAGAAACAAGCCAATGACCTGGTGAACACTCTAATGAAGTGCACTCCTCACTACATCCGCTGCATCAAACCCAACGAGACCAAGAGGCCCAAAGACTGGGAAGAGAGCAGGTCGGAATCTATGGCTTTTTACATCTTTAGTTTGCTAGAATACAAATATAGATGAATGTAAAATTGAATAATTGGACCTTGTTTTGTTATTTATTGTGTTTTTAAACCTAACAACGTTTTAAGAGCGAAGCATCAAGTGGAATATCTGGGACTCCGAGAAAACATCCGTGTACGCAGAGCTGGCTTTGCCTATCGCAGAGTCTTCAACAAGTTCTTAATGAGGTCAGTATGCTACCATTGTCAGCTAATGCCTCATCATTTTAATACTGATCTTATTTTTTTGTCTACATTTAAAAACACCTATGTATATATTTGGTTCAAAATGTTCTGTTCAATAATTGAAATATGTCAACAAGTAAATTTAAATATGTATATGTGATAGTTACATTAGCTTGAAAGTTTATACACCTAAACAGGCAGAATTTGAATGAAGCGGTTTATTTCCAAATTATAACATAATTGAGCTGTTCTTTGGGAGGTCACAAATCTGCAGTTCTTGCGAGGTGGCCCAGGAATTTACAGGAACACCAAACTGTCATAGATGTTAAAGGGCAACGCACCCTACTGAGAACAGAGACTTATGAGAACTGGGGGATGGATGGTATGGTTTGGTATGGTTTTTATTTTTACAGGGACAGTGTACAGTAAACATTAGCCAAAAGGAGAGATGCTTTGTACCAGGTTGTAGCAGCAGTGCTAATTTACACCTGTAGTCCCTGAGCAGGTTGTTGTGAGACAGTAAAATAAAAAGTAGATGGATACATTACCATACATTATCAGACATACCTTACAATTTAATTAATCACAAATTAGATAATAGAATATAATAAAACCACCCAGCCCCCATTCTTTATTTTCATACGAACCTACACTCAACCTGCACTCTATCTCTCTCTCTCATGCACACACACACACACACACACACACACACACACACACACACATACACACACCCACATACACACCTACGCAGACACTCATCACACATGGGAACAGATCTGCCTCTCCAGGAGCCATGCTCTTGTCAGGCGTGTGAATAGTTTTAGATCAGTGCAAGTGATGATGTGAGTTGGGAGTGAGTTCCACTGAGTCGCTGCAGTGACGGAGAAGGCTGACTTTCTGAAAGAGGTCCTACATGTTGGGACGCTGCACTCTCCTCGTGCTGTAGATCGAGTGGCACGGGTCATTTTTTCAGAGCACAGGGATACTTCTGATCAGGTTCATATAGGAGTTTCTAACATCATTATGATTTCAGAAACCACAGCAGATGTGTTTTAAACCAGTGTGCCATGTTCCACTGGCCTGTTGATTTACAGGGCGTTATCAGGTTGACCACCCTGGACCCAAAACCAAAAGCCAAAACCCTAAAAAAAAAATCTAAAGTGATCAAAGTCAGTGTAAATAAGTGTTCATAAGATGAATGTGTTGTGCATAGATATGCCATCCTCACCACGGAGACCTGGCCCAGATGGAATGGTCCTGAGCAGCAGGGGGTCCTCCACCTGCTGCGCTCCGTCAACATGGACTCCGATCAGTATCAGATGGGACGCACCAAGGTCTTTGTCAAGAACCCGGAGTCGGTAAAGGCTGTTCATAATTAATATGTCAACATTATCAGATCTTTATGAAACAAAGTCAATTACTTAACTTTCACAAAAGTTAAAGTCAAGTCGGCACTTGATTTTACATGGACTTAAGCTCCCGCATCATTGATTGTGTGGTATGATCTGTGATGGGAATAACGGTTACTTTTCAGTGACGAGTAATCTAACTAATTACTTTGCACAATGAACTTTTATTTAAACTTCATGATTGGACTCGCGTGTTGTCATGAGAGAAGGGAGGATAACCTCTCAGCAATTATTGACTGATGTGAAGTAAGATTACGTCTTCAGCCAATCAGAGAAATTGGGTAGGTGGGTGTTTCCGCATTCACAGTTGCGGTTGTTTAGAGCCTACAGCGCACAGAGCAGCAAAACAGCCTTTTCCAGATGGAAGGTTAAAGGAGGTTAAAGGTAAAAATGTGCATGTCGGGTTTTGAGAAGTGTATGTCCATCCACTGTTGTTTACATTGAATTGCAATAAATGCAAACCTCTATGCAGGTACTTGTCTTTGTTTTTGTGCACTCTGTTCATCTGGCTTATGAAACACGCTCTGAGAAGGTGGGGGCCAGGGGGTGGTTACGGGGGCGAGAAACAAGTAACGCAATAGCTACTTTTACTGGTAACTAGTTACTTTTATAGTGGAGTAACTCAGTTAGTAACTCAGTTACTTTTTGGGAGAAGTAACTAGTAACTATAACTAATTACTTTTTCAAAGTAACTTGCCCAACGCTGGGTATGATCAACTGACCTGCAAGTTGTGTGACACCAGCTCTCATACATGAATGCTATTGTGTGTCATTGGGCAAGACACTTCACCCACCTTGCACCCATCTCGCTTCAGGATTTTATACTATTTTATTAAGAATACAGAAACACCTTTTGCCACACACTCTATATACTAATAATACTGAGCTTAGATCCTGTCTCCTCGCATTGTTCTTGAGATGTTTCTAAAACTTAATTGGTGGTAAATTCTGCTGGTCTAACTTGACCTGTCGATTTAAGATCCTACCGCTGCCAAAAGGCATGTAGTAAATAACCTGCTGATGAAATAAAAATATCCTAAAAACATCGATCACTTTGTTATTATTATTGGGTATTGCAAGCAGATTGATTAATAACAAATATAATCAGTCCACGTTTTTTAAATGTATAGAGTGAATGTGAAAGGGGTTGAATACTTTCAGAATGCATATTTCATGTTTGACTTTTGATCCTTTTTGTCATGTTTGCAGCTTTTCCTTCTTGAAGAAATGAGAGAGAGGAAGTTTGACACATTTGCCCGGATCATTCAAAAGTCTTGGAGACAATACATCGCACAGAAGAAATATGAGCAGATGAGAGAAGAAGGTAAGATTAGAACAACCATTTTTGAGAACAGTCTGCTCTTTGTCCACAAGTCAAATTCACATATAGGTTATTTTGAAGACACTGAGAAGGAAATATAAATAAAGGTCCATCCATCCATCCATTTTCTTCCGCTTCATCCGTTGCCGGGTCGCGGGGGCAGCAGTCTAAGCAAAGATGCCCAGACTCTCCAGAAATATAGGTCTTTTGGTCAAATGTTAGATTAAGTACCTGCCGTCAGCGTGTAGAAAAATGTAGGAAAAAAAGGGTACTGAGACAGCTTTGTACCAGCAACCCATTCTTAAATAGCACAACTCAGCATACTTGAACTGTAAACTAAACTGATTGACCGTAAATTGCATCATAGTCCCTGTACAATATGATTTTTGATAGAGTTACATTCATATAGAGCTTTCCAACCTTTTCAAGGCACCCGAAGCGCTTCACAACAAGGAACCAATCACTCATTTACCCACACATTCTTACACCAGTGTATGCAGGCATGAGTTTCCTGCCCAATGACACAGAGTAAGACACCTGCATACACTGCCATTCACCAATGAGAGATGCCAGTTTATCTCACCACTCAATCTGACCACTCAACCAATGAAGGCAAGAGCTCTGGTGTGTGCTATCTGGTGCACACTGGGGTAGTAGTCTTGCGCAATTTTTCCAATGTGGCTTTACTGCAAATCTTGAGGTTTATATCAGGCGCAGGATTCGGACCACCAACCTTAACATGCTCTACCAACTGAGCTATCTCTGTAGTTTTGAGAAAGTTCTATTTTCCCATGGGTGAATATAAAAATATTTAAAATCCTGCCTCCACAGCCTCGGACATTCTGTACAACTCCAAAGAGCGGAGGAGGAACAGCATCAACAGAAACTTTGTTGGGGATTACCTCGGCCTGGAGCAGAGGCCAGAGTTACGCCAGTTTTTATCCAAACGAGAGCGAGTGGACTTTGCAGATTCTGTCAACAAGTTTGACCGCAGATTCAAGGTGAATTTATTTGAAAAAAAAAGAGCTCTGTGAGTCATTATTGGACTCCTGAGAGCAAGTTGACTGAGATCCCAACTCCCTACTGTGTCATGGATGACTACTCATTTGAAATAAATCAGATTCATGAGTCAAAAGGGGGTGAGGCCCTGAGCAGCATCAATGTTCATGAAGACGGAGATGTGCTGGGCAAGATCTTCCTCACTTAGCATCCTTCTCAGATCCCTCACCAGATACTTACAGTGGTATGAAAAGGTTTGGACACCCCTATAAAAGTTTGATTTTCCTTTATAAATCATTGGTTGTTTGGTATTTCATTTCAATTTCAGTGAAATGTATCATACTGGAGACAGACACAGTGATATTTGAGAAGTGAATTAACGTATGTATCATTTACAGACCCAAATTAGGCATGTGCAAAAATGTACGCACCACAACATAAAATAAACTCAATATTGTGTACATTCTCCTTTTGCTGAAATGCTTCCTATAACTTCCGATTAGAGTCTGGAATCTGGTGGAAGGTGCGCTGAATAGTCAAACGATGGACAGTGACACCATTTGCAGCAAGCTTATGTTGTAGGTCTTTGCAGCTGGTCTGTGGGCTGACTCTGACTGTTCTCACCATCCTGAGCCTGTTATCTGAGGTTTTCCTTGGTCTGCCACTTCGAACCTTTACTAGAACTGTGCCTGTGGTCTTCCAAATCCTCACAATGTTTCTCACAGTTGAAAATGAAAGCTTATATCTCTTTAATAGCTTTTTATATCCTTCCCCTAATCCATGATGTTGTTGTATCTTTGTTTTATAGATCATTTGAGAGTTTTTTTGAGGCTCTCATGTCTCTCTTAGAATTGGCCTACTTAATTACCATTTTACGATTAAATTCACCTGTGTATGGAGGTCAAGTGTCACTGAGGTTACAAAACAATTTTTCCAATAATTTCCAATAATTTGTGCTAAAAGTATTGAAATCACTAAAATTTAAAGGGTGCCAACATTTATGCACCCAATTTTCTTTAAATATTCTTGCAAATTTTCTGTTACTGATACAAACTTACACTACCGTTCAAAAGTTTGGGGTCACTCAAGTGTTTTCCATGAAAAGTCACACTTATTCACCACCATATGTTGTGAAATGAATAGAAAATAGAGTCAAGACATTGACAAGGTTAGAAATAAGGATTTGTATTTGAAATAAGATTTGTTTTACATCCAACTTTGCTTTCGTCAAAGAATCCTCCGTTTGCAGCAATTACAACATTGCACCAAAAACCAGACATTTGCAGATAGAATAGTCATTGACCACATAAGCAATGTATAGAGTGTATTTCTTTACAGTTAAGACTATAGTTTAAAGTTATCTACAGTGCTTTTCCTTCAAAAATAAGGACATTTCAATGCGACCCCAAACTTTTGAACGAAAGTGTATATGATAAATTTAACTGAAATAATTACCAATGATTTATAAAGGTAAATAATTAAAATTAATAGGGATGTGCAAACTTTTGCATACCACTGTTGTATCTCCTCATGGTCCTCCTTCCCACGCTGCAGTTAAATCCAGTCTCAGAGCTGTACACTACTGACGGCCTCCGTAACATTTTACAGAGTTTTCAGTCCAAACAAATGTGAATGCAGCCATTCTTTTTATATTTTAATGGTTTTGTCTTTTGTTTGTTAGTCGATCAAGAGAGATCTGATCCTGACCCCAAAAGGCATCTATCTGATTGGGCGAGAGAAAGAGAAGAAAGGGCCAGACAAAGGGATGATAAAAGAGGTTCTGAAGAGAAAGTTAGAATTTGGGAACATCACTGGAGTTTCTCTTAGGTAAATAACTTTTGAAAATCTACAAAGCATTGAGTGTGGAGCTGGTTCTGTCACATTTGGCTTTATATTTAAAAGATTGTTTAAGTAAACAATTGGTGTTTAAACGTACTTGTGTCTTCAGCACGCGGCAGGACGACTTCTTCATCCTTCACGAGACGCAGTACGACAGCCTGCTGGAGTCCAACTTTAAGACCGAGTTCTTGAGCCTTTTGTCCAAACGCAGTGAAGAAGCTACCAAGAAAAAGTTGCCCTTATCCTTCTCTGACAGGTACAAGGCCAGAAATGTTTGACTCTATATAAGACAAATGTAGAATAAGTAAGGATTAAACAACGAGGAGCAGTGTTGTTGTATGGTTTAAACAGACAATGCAAAGTCGAGATTGGCACAAGGCGGGCTTTCACTCCCTAGCAACTAAAGATCAACGTGGATGGAACTGAAAACACCTCCAGTTCTGTTTGTGATTATAGAACAATGTTGTTACATGATTAAAAGCTTATAACTCCTCTGTTCTATCCCAGGCTGGAGTTCAGGTTGAAGAAGGAGGGATGGGGCGGTGGAGGCAGCCGTGTCCTCAGCTTTGTGAGGGGCTCCGGGGACATGGCCACACTCAAAACTGGAGGAAAGAGCCTCACCATCAGTATCGGAGACGGCCTGCCCAAGTCCTCCAGTGAGCACCGCAAAGACAGTACAACATGTACAACTGTGAATGTTCGGCTGATCATGTGGCGTTTGTGTTCACAGAGCCCACAAGGAAGAGCGCCCAGCAGAGCCATGGAAGACGGAGGATCACCGGGACCAATAAAGGTGCGTATGGATAACTTTTTCTATGTCCCCTATCTGTATTTTTTTTTTTTTGTGCAATTCAGTTTCTACTGATTTTTTAGAATGTATTGTGCTTCTACGTCATGGTGCTACGTCCCTTAGGACTTTGCTAGTGGGATATCACTCGTGACCCCCAGGTCACACGCCAGAGAGATCAAAATAATTTGCTCCAATCACCAGCCACCCTCCTCTATAAATGCCCCTGCACAAGGCCGCACCCCCTCTTTCACTCTGGCGCCGTTTGAGATCTACCACAGTACTTACTTCATTCTGAGATGTCTTCCTTGTTCGTCCGAGTTCCCTTCGCCCTCCGGCGTCGGACGTCATCGCTGGATCCAGACGGTGGAGGACTTCACCTCTGTGGGTCCCACCACTCGAGGGAGGAGGAGGATGCAACCCACGTTGTGCCCGCGGATGGACCCGTTCGTCCATTACGCGACACGTGAGTGGCCAAAGCCCCTAGCAGCCAAGAGGCCTGCTCTGGGGCACAACATGTACTGCAGCGGGCAGGACTGGTCCTGGACCGGTGATCGAGGATTCAGTCCGCATGGCCCTGCAGCCCTTCGCATCCGTGTGGCCCGGCACCCAGTGGCGGAGCCAGACTTTTAAACAGAGGGTGGCCAGGGGGTGGCAAGGTTTTTTTTAAGGGGTCCACATTTATACTATTCCGAAATTTTATTTCATACAAAAACTGGCTAAACGATACATTTTAATATTAATCTTGTCATTATTTTTAATATAACGTGAACTGAGAGCACACTTGGAAACTACAAAGCAAAAAAGTGTATTTAAACAGTAGTCTGAACAAAAAAGTGCAAAATAACATTCAAACATTGCATTACATTTTTCTTTTAACAAATTTAGAAAATTCCTACGGTTCTGGTGTAAAGCAGCAAAGATGTTGACAAACTCATCCATATTCAGCCCTGAGCCTCCTTTACATACACTGAGGATACCAAGATGACTCAATCATCTGCCATGGTCGTTCTGAGATGGTTTTTAATAAGTTTTAGGGCAGAGAAACTTATTTCACAAGACGCAGTACTGACAGGTATTTAAAAGATCTTTGCAAGCCTCAAAAGCTCATGAAACACTTTCCAAACGTTCCAAAAGGACAAGGAAGTCCAATAGGGACTCTAATCCATTTTTTCCTCCCAAGAAGCCGCCTAGTTTGACGTACCTCATGCTTAAGGTCCTCTATATCTGACTCAAAGGTTCTGCCAAATGAAAACAGGGGCTCTTCTTTCAAAAATATTTTGGGGTTAAGCGACTGCACTCCATCCATAATCTTAGCTATTTTTTTTCTTTTTTTGTGTGTGAAAAAACGCCTTCTGCCAATAGACAATCCTGCACCTGTCTGCGACACCTTCTCATTCTCTGAAACTCAATTATATAAGCTATATTTTAATACAACACAACAAATTCCTCATCATCTCAAAACATACTGCCTCTGAGTCTGACCTTCAGGTTTCATCATCCTGATCTACAGGCCTTTTCTTTACAAAAAAAGGCCTGTAGGCAATGTTTCCTCCTTTTCTTTTCATGTTTACACTAAAGGGAAGAGGGCGATGATACGATGGGCAATTAATAATGGAAAATACACACGCATGCACACCCGCACGCACACACACGCACACTGGCACGCACACACGTACACAGGTACGCAGACCCCACACTGGCACACACAGGCACGCACACACGCGCAGACACACTGGCACGCTGACACACGCACACAGGCGCGCATACAGGCACGCATACGCACACACAGATACACACACTAAAAGTTCTACAAACTGAACAAGTAATGCGCTGCAGTACGTGTGTCAATACTTCGTGTCAAATGTAAACGTTGGCTCTGCATCGCTAACTTACCTCTTTGTTTTCATCACGACTTGGGCACACTTTTTTTCTTCTTAAATCCTTCGGTTTTGTTTAAATCCACACTTTAGTGCCACAAACTCTGCTCGTCTGGCTCTCGCTCTAACTCCCGCTCTGATGAACTGCTCTGATTGGTCAGAGCGCGGCCGAGCCCCTCTGTGCACGTGCGTGAGACCCGGTGTGAGACCCACACACGCGTGTTTGACGCAACGCATTATGGGAGATCATCCACTGCGCAGAACCGGGAGGACCAGACGATGCCCAAATACAGACGAGTTTCCCATAGATCTTTGAGAGTTTCAGGCAACTTCCGCTAATCTTTCAGCCCCCATGCTGTCACAAAGCGCCACTGAGCACAACCATTCATTTGAATAGGGCGCCATCTTGGATCGCCGGGGCTTGGGCACACCTGAGTCCAACAACCCAAAGCATTAGCATACAGCACTGGCTCCACACCATGGATGTATTATATTAACGCTCCACGCGGAGTCAGGGTGCGTTCACAGACGGGGGAAACCGTGGGAATTTTTAGCTTTTGGCGGAAAAAGTGCGGAAGATTCTCAAGATTAACATTATTACATTGCCGTCTTCCGAGGGGGGCACTGGGGGTGGCAAGGATATTTTTAGAGGTGGCAGTGGCCACCCTGGCTACCCCTCTGGCTCCGCCACTGCCGGCACCAGACCTCTCCTTCCCTCCGAGCGGGACAGGATGTCTTGCCGATGCTGGATAGATGTTATGCCAATGCGGCACAGGGTGTCGCATTGGCTAACAACATGGCATTCATCACGGGGGCCCTGAATAGGTCGCTCTCTTCTGGCCAGGCGCTCAGTGGAGACCTCCTGTCACAGGCGAGGACCACCTCGGCGGCGATTCTGCGCATGTGCCAGACGCTAGCCGTGGACGGTGGCCGCTCCATGGCTGCAGCCCAAGTCGGGGCCAGGCACCTTTGGCTTGGGCTGGCTAATATCAGGGAGGCGGAGAAGAGGCAGCTGCTGGACCTGCCCATCTCTCAGACGTCCCTCTTCGGCCCGGACATGCAGGCCTTGGTGGCGAGACTGGAGTCTGCAGCCAACGACTCGGCTAGGCTAGCCCCGCACTTAGCACCGAGGCGCGAGGCCCACCAACCATCACGGAGCCGGGACAGAGGCAGAGAGCGTTCGCCCGGGAGGCATCCTGACCCGTATCCGCGCTCTGTTGTCCATCGTCCCCCCTCGACGAGGCCCCCGGGTCCAGACAGACCCACGGGTGGCTCGCGGGAGCAACGCACCCACCGCCGACCTCCCTATGGCAGAGGAGGTCGGGGTGGAAAGTTTTCCTTCAATAAAGGCCGACCGGCATTTCATCATTACTTGTTTCTAGAGTCTCATTTGGGGGTATGTAACATGTCAAATAATGTGAATTCTGATTGTGTTACTTCTCGAGCACATAACGTTGCTTCGCTAGGCCTGCAGCCCCCAGAGCAGGGTTTGCAGTGCGCTACGCGAGCTACGAGCTCCGGCCCTCTGATCCATACTATGCCCTCCCAGAGAGAGGTCAGGCGGAGGGATCTGGTGAGTAGTGGTGTGTGTGCTTCGGCCGAACGCGTGTTAGCATCTCTGAGCTACAAGGCTAACACGGGGTTTCCCACTCCAGGGGCTCGCCCCCCCCTCCTTGAGGCAAGAGCCAGGGGGGGGCACAGCAGCCGAGTCACGTGGGATGAGCAGTCCCGTACTTATGACGTCGGGCCTGCAGGACATGTGACCGCCCCCGGCGCTCACGGTGTGACGCAGGGGGCCCCCCGGCCCTTTCGTCCACCCCCCCTCCCTGCGAGGAACACCAGGAGAGGGCGGGGCCGTGACGTCTCGTGTTCCAGCTCCCGTTCCGCCCCTCACAGACTTCTACAGCATCTGGAGGGAGCAAGGTTTGCTGACAGATCTATGGCTGGAGAAAACATTGCGCAGGGGTTACGCTCTGCAATTCTCCCGAAAGCCACCACCATCGCATGGCGACGGTGACGCTGCTGTGGGCAGCGCTTCACCTCCTGTCTCTCAGGGCGCGCCACGTCCCGGGGGTCCGGAACGTGGGGGCCGACAGGATGTCCAGGGGGGGCCCACTCCAGGACGAGTGGGGCCTGGCCCCACAGGTAGCTGCGGAGATCTGGCGGAGGTTCGGCCGTCCAGTGGTTGACCTTTTCGCCAGTGCAGAAAACGCACAGTGCCCGTCCTGGTTCGCCTTAAGGGCCGCGGACGAGCCGCCTCTAGGCATGGGCGCTCTGGCTCATTACCCCTGGCCAGAGGGCCTGCTGTGCGCTTTCCCACCAGTGCGTCTCCTGCCGGTCCTGCTGCGGAGGATCGAACAGGAGAGGAGGTCGGTGATCCTGGTGGCTCCGGACAGTCCGCTGGTTCCCCTTCCTGAGGGGCATGGCGGTGATGGAGCCCTGGGCCCTCCCGGACGAGCCGGGGGCTCTAGTCCAGGGGGGGGGAACCCTGTTTTCACGCCCGATAATCGGCCGCAGGCTCTGGGTTTGGAGGCTGAGAGGCGGAACCTCGTAGACCTGGGTCTTCCCCCTGCGGTGGTGGAGACCATTCAGGGGGCGAGGGCGCCGTCCACTGTGAGGGCCTACGCCACGAGGTGGAGGCTCTTCAGCGACTGGTGTGGTTCTCGTTCCTGGGATCCCAGGCGTTGCCCGCTGGAGGGGGTCCTGGGATTCCTACAGAAGCTTTTTGACAAAGGGAGGGCTGTCGCCACCTTGGCGGTGTTCGCGGCAGCCATTACATCGGGTCACGACGGATTCGGGGGGGTTCACAGCCCGTTCTCATCCGTTGGTTAAACGTTTTCTGCGGGGGGCGCGCAGGAGGAGGCCCCCGCTCCAGAGAACGCCCCCGGTTTGGGACCTCAGGGTGGTCCTTAGGGGGCTGTCGGGTCCGCCTTTTGAACCGGCGGCGGAGGCGAGTCCCGAGTTTGTCGCTTTTTAGACGGCCCTCTTGCTGCCGTTGGCGTCTGCTAAGAGGGCGGGCGACTTGTGTGCGCTCTCTGTCCATGCGTCTTGCCTGTCCTTTGGAGAGGGCGACGGCATGGTGGTATTGTGGCCCAATCCGGCCTTTCTCCCCAAGGTCATCACGTC